GTTTATTTCAACTTTAATTAGTGTGATATTCAAAATTTTTTCACTCATTGCCAGCAAAAAATTTTACTGGCTTGGTGTGTTCGATAGGTTCTCGTAAATTTGCATACTGCATTAATATATCAATGACATTGAGGAAATGCAGTTGTGTGAATATTTGATTATTCAAATTGGCTGTTAATAAGTTTATGATTTGTCGTTAAATAGGTCGGTAATTTATTTGTTTCTTTTTTTCGGTGATGAGAAGCAAAATTATTGAGAATTCGTTATTTTTCGCATTTCAGGCTCTTGGCGTTGGTTTGCCAACCCATCAAGGTGTGTTCACAATGTCGAACGCAATTCGACAGACGGCCATCGCCTCACCGTCGACAACTCAACAGAGTCTCTCATCAATGGGTTCAACACGAGGATCTATCACACAAGGTAGGAGTATATTTTTGTCGGGGATACAGATTGCAAGATTTCGAACATATGCGCTTATTTTATTACAGATGCTTATTGTTAGTTTTGCTGGATGATTGTTCTATGAAATGGTGAATGTGTACAAATGATATATTCTCAAGCTTGCAGTCGTTTGATTGTGGTTGTATTTTAGTGATTTAGAAGCAGTGTTTGATATGAATGGGATTTATTGAACTGGCAAGGGTTTGTTTGGGTTTGAGCGTTGTGACTGTGGAGATTACGAAGTTGAATATTGTCATTGATGGTGCAGTTTGGGAGTTTACGAAAAGCTTGGAAAAAAATTAGAATTTAAGATGATTGAGACGCTCGTAATGAGTTTTTATGAGGGTGGATTGAAGGAATGACTGGATAAATGGAATGAGTGGATTGCATTTGAGGTACACCAATGATGCGTCCACCGTCACTGCCCGGCTATGATCCATCGTCGTTGTTGATGATGGATAAACTGAAGCAACAACAAGCCCAACAGGCATCACTGCAATCGGCTGGAATCGGCTCAGCATCGGCCACAACCAATCCACCCTCGATTACACCACTGGGCAGCGCCGCAGCGGCTCTTGGAGCCAGTGGCTCGTCATTGGGAGGTGGTGGAACCACTCCGTTGGGACAGCTGAGTGCTGCTGCTGCTGGTGGTGGTGCGGCAAGTGGTGGTCCTGCTGCTTCGGCTCCACCCGGTACCCCGTTGGGACTGCAGATGTCGTCACTGGGAGGAGGACCGTTTGCGGCCGGAGCCGCCAGTGCCCCACAAGGGATTGGCACGCCGTTCGCCGCTCCGAGCACACCGGTTCCACCCGACAGTCGGATGTCACCAATAGCGTCAGCATTCTACAATCAATTTGCAACTCTCGATCCAGCATTACA